AGCTATGCACTATTGCCATCACCTAGTTCATCTTTCAAAGCAATTTTGGAACTCTTTTTCTGAAATGGCTATCAGAGCTGTCATCCTATGTCCTGAATGTCATCAAAATGTCTTCCTTTCAATATTTTCTTTATTTTAAGGTAAAGAAAGAAGTCACTAAGGGCCAGATCAGGTGAGTAGGGAGGGTGTTCCACTACATTTATTTGTTAATGGCTAAACACTCCCTTAGAGTGTTCCATATGCTGGTGCATTGTCGTGACACAAGAGCCATAAATTGTTGGCGAAAAGTTCAGGTCATCTGACTTTTTCAGTACTTCCAAATAGTAAACTAGGTTAACTGTTTGTTTAGCTGGTACAAATTCATAATGAATAATCCTTCTGATATCAAAAATGATTAGCAATATCTATGCAACCAGTTCGCATACTTACTTAATTGTCCACCTCGTACAGAGATATAAATACAGCCCAACAAACAAAACAAAAGGAGATACCACCAAAGAAGAAGGGAAAATGACAAATAGTCAGTCACACTAATAGAAATCAAATGGCGATATGATATTCTTCAACCCAACCCTATAAGTAATTGCATTCAATGGAAACAGATTAAACACTCCAATTAAAGGCAAAGGTTGTCAGTCTCGCTAAAAAATTGCAAGTCCCAGTTTTGTGCTGTTTACAAGAGACACATTCTAAATATAAAAACATAGGTAGAATGAAGTTATAACTATAGGAATACAAAAGAGATATTCTGCAACACTCATCCAAGAAAACAACCATGCCCATGAAGGGTGCTGTTTTACTTTTGAATTTTGGCCACCTGTGAGATGAGCTCAAGTGTCTCAGTAGACGTTTCATTTTCATTTCTCCATATTTATTTCTATTTCTCTTAATATGAGTGAAGTTGACACTCTCTTCATTATTTTTTAAATATAGTTTACTCTGATCTGTGCAGGACTTTGCCCATTCTTCTGTCAACTTTTTGGTATTTTTCTTCTGGATTTTCAGAATTCTTTCTATAGTAGATAGATTCCCTCTTTAATTGTGATACATGTTGCAATGATTTATTTCTAAATTTGCCTTCTGTATTTTGAGTTTGCTCACTCTGCTTTTTGACATTTGAACTTTTAAAGATGATTTTGAACCCATCAAAATTCATATCAATCTGTTCTTTTAATGTTTCTCGATTTAGAGTAATTGCTAGAAAGGCTTTCCCCCTTCTGGGTTTATAAAGGAATTTACTCATGTTTATTTCTCATGCACTTACAGTTTTATTTTGTGTATTTGAGTCTCTTATCCATTTTGAGTTTATTCTGGTGCTTTATGTCAAATATGACTCTGGCTTAATATCTTAAAGAAGTACAATCTACTTGTTGCAACATCATTTATGAGAAAGTGTACTTCTCAATGATTTTAAATGCCACCTTATTATAAACTACATGTCCTTATGTGAAATGTTTCTGGACTTTCTATTCTGTTTCATTGGTCTCTCTGTTTACTCACATGTCAGCACCATGCTATTTCCAGAAAAGAAGTTTTATAGGATGCTTTTAATATGTGATAAGGCTAACCCTTACCATTCTTTTTTCTTTTTGTCATGATTCCTAGTAATTACTGCATGCTTATTTTCCACATGAATTTTAGAATTGCATAGAACTTGTATAATGCTCAGAGAATAAACTGTATATTCTAGTCACTTATTTTTATTGGAATTGCATTAAATGTATACATTAGTATGGTACCGGGATATCAGAAAAGTAGTAGTTCTCTGGACAGCAATCTGACGACACTGCTTTGATTTTCTGGCATGCATTCTCACTTCACATTGTATCAGTAATTCATTAAACAGAGTACTCTGGGGAGAGCTAACCCTCTTCCATTCTCAGGACATGTCGTTGAGAGACAGAGCAGACCCCAACCTCTCCAAAGGCTGTGACCTAGGCTTACAGGGACCAGTAGTTTTCACTCCTCTGGCCAACTCTACATGTAGTTAAAGCAGTGTGGTTGTCTGTGCTTTGCTCTGACTGCCACTGTGCAGTTCCCATCCCACAGGCTCTTCTTACTTGACTGCAGCACTCCTTCCTTTTTAAATCTGGGTAAGGGTTTTGATTGCCCAAAGCAGTAGAATATGGTACAATGGATACCATATGACATCAAAGTCTAGGTAAGAAAAAGAATACATCTTGTGACCGGGTCGATTTTTCAGAGGTACTCACTCTGCTAAAGCCCACCATCATGTTGCAAGACCAAACAATCCTATGCAGAGACCACAGAGAGGAACTGACGCACAGTGGGCAACAGCACCATCCACTGGGCATGTGTCCATCATCCTTCAGCTGATCCCAAGCTCCAGGCTTCAAGCCTCACCTGACATCAAGGGAAGCAAAGGGAAGCTATCCACCTTAATTCTGACCAAAATGCACATTCACGAGAAAAATTAATTTTGTTGTTGATTTTGAAACCACTTGGTTCTTTAGAAGCTGGCATAAGCCCTCTTTGACATTATTGCCACGCCATTGTGTCCATTCCTCTAAGCATGACTTCACCATCTTTATCTGATCAGTGATGGTTTTGTCTCCACCAGATGCAAGAAATCTCATGTCCAATACCACTGAATCTCACAAGAAAAGGCCTCAATAAACGGTCCAGAGAAACCAAAAAAATGAGGAGTCCTTGCAATGCATCATCATGAGATTC